TTAATCCCCAGTACCAAAAAAAAAAAAAAAAGCCTGGAAACAGAGTGTTTCAGATTTCAATTTGGTGGGGGTGGGTGGGTGAAATATTTGGATTCTGGATTTTCATATTAGGGATGCTTAAACCATATCCATGTTGCTGCTGTTTTCTCCCATGCACAGATTCACATAATGACCATCATAAGTGAGACAGTTCTATCACCCTTCTGCTAGATGCCATCACACCCTCCCTCTCCTGCCCTGACCACTCCCAACCACTCACTAATCTATGATTATGTCATTTAAAAAATGTGTTTTTTGAGTTTTCTTTGTGTGTGTGTGTGTGCGTGTGTGTGTGTGTTGCTGGGGACTGAACCCAGGGCCTTGTGCATGCGAGGCAAGCACTCTACTAACAGAGCTATATCCCCAGCCCCATGAGATAATTTTGCTTACTCAGCATAAGTCCCTTGAACTTCCCCTGAGTTGCTACTGTGTCAGTAGTTCCTTTCTGTTTCTGAATAGTATCCCATGGTACAGCATCACCAAGTGCCCCCTGCAGGGCATCTGTGCTGTGTTCAGGTTTGAACTATCACAAATAACGCTCCCATGAACATGCATGCCCAGGTTTTGGGGTGGACAGACTTTTTCATTTCTCTAGGGAAAATGCCCAGCAGTACGATTTTCAGGTCATAGGGCAAGTGTATGTTCAGTTATAAAAGAAACTGTCAAAGCATTTTCCATAGAGGCTGTATCATTTCATATTTCCATCATCAGTGAAAGGGAGGTCCCGTTCTCTGCATCTTCATCAGCATTTGGATTATCTCAGTCTTTCATTTTACCCACTCTAATAAATGTGTACTGATATCTCATTTTGGTCTTAATTTGCATTTCTCTAAGAGCTTGTGGTGTTGAACATTTTTTCATGTTCTTATTTGCCATACGTACACCTTCTTCATTGAAATCTCTCTCCCTGTGTTTTGCCTATTTTCTAATTGCATTGTTACTGTTTAACAGTTGAGTTTTTAAAGTTCTTTTATATCTATATTCAAATCCTTTATCAGTTATGTGATTTTTAAGTACTAGAGAAAGTACCTGGACAAGCTCCTGTCTGCAGGTTGTCTTTTCATTCTTTTAACAAGGACAACTTTTTAATTTTGAAGAAGTCCAATTTTTTAGTTTTTTTCTTTTTATGGAACATGTTTTGGGGCAATGTCTAAGAATTCTCACCAACCCCTAGGTCCCAAACATTTCTCCTATGTTTTCTTCCATTTTTACATTAAATGATTTTATTTTGAGCTAGTTTTTTTTTTTTATTAAGATTTAAAGTTTAGGATGAGGTACACTTCTCTGCCTGTAAATATTCAATTGCTTCAGCACCGTTTATGGAGAAGACTCTCCTTCCTCCAATGAACTGCTTGTACTTCTCTGTCACAGATCACCTACCAGAATTTATGTGGCTCTATTTATTGGTTATTGTGTGTGTGTGTGTGTGTGTGTGTGTGTGTGTGTGTTTACATGCACACATGAATGTATGTTGGAAATTGAACCCAGGGGCACTTTGTCACTGAGCTATACCCCTAGCTTTTTTTATTTTGAGAGAGGGTCTTGCTAAGTTACTGTGGCTGTCTTTCCACTCACGACCCTCCTACCTCAGCCTCCTAAGTCACTGGGATTACAGAGGTGCACCACTGCACTCAACCTTACTTTTTAATTTTCTTGAATTGATCTATGTGTCTAGCATTTCTCCAATTCCACAGTATTTATTACTGTATGTCTTAAAATTGAGTAGAGTGATTCCCGTTTTCTTTCTCAAAATGACTTTATTCTAATTCCTTTGCATTTCCATATATATTTTAGAAAATCTATATCAATACTATTGTTCATATTTTGATAGGAATTGAGTTAAATTAGTATATCAATTGAGAGATAATGGACATCTTTACTATGTTGAGTTTTCCAATCCATGAAAACAATGTCTCTCCATTTAGTTAGCTTTGATTTTTTTTTCAGTGTTTTGCAGTTTTCAGCTTATGAGTTGTGGAAATGTTTTGTTTGATTTATTCTTATTTCATAATTTTGAAATGACTGTAAATGGTATTATATTTTAAATTCTGGCTTATGCATACTTATTGCTAATGTATAGAGATACAATTTATCTTGTATCCTGTGACCTTGCTGAACTCACTTAAGAATTCTATGAATTCTTTTGAATAGTTCTTAGGATTATCTATATAGACAATCATGTTATCCACAAAAGGAACAGTTTTCTCTCTTACTTTGCAATGTAGACCTTTTCTTTTCTCTTCTCTTCTTGTTTTATTGCAATGGCTAAAAAGTCAAATACCATATTGAAGAGCAGGGTTGGGAGCAGACATCCTTTCCTTGTCCCCAGTCTTAGAGGGAATGCATTCCCTGTTAGGTATGATGTTTGCTGTAGGGTTTTGTAGATATTCTTTATCAAGATTAATAAATCCTGTCTTTCTTGTTTGTTCACAGTTTGTTTTTTTTAACTCATGAATAGGTATTGGATTTTGTTAAATGCTTTTCCTGTAACACTTAACAAGATCATGATTTTTCTTTGACCTGTTATTAAGCATATCACACTGACTGGTTTTCAATATTACATAAACTCCACTTGGCTGTGATATATACAATTTTTAATAGTTTAATTCTTTCTAGCTGGTATTTAAAGGGTTTTTACATGTATGTCCATGTTAGCCTCACATAATTAGTTGGAACGTGTTCCTCTTCTGTTTTCTTGAAGAGATTATGTAGAACATTGTGGGTTTGTTTTTTTTTAATTTTGTAGAAATTTGTAATGGTAATCATCTAAGCCAGATTTCTTTGGGGGGGAGTCTTTAATTACAAAATCAAATCCTTTGATATAAGTATTAAATTAGCTATTTCATATTGGGTGAGTTCTGTGGTTTGCACTTTTTGAGGATTTCTTTCTTTCTACCTAAGTTTTCAAACATGTAGAGGAATTTCCAGTTATCTTGTATAGTTGCTTTAATGTCTGCGTGGTCTGAGCATTTCTCCCATTTCATTCCTGATACTAGAAATTTGTTTCCTCTATTTTTGTTCCTGTTGTACTTGAGCTTTGTCATTTTGTTTATATGATATCTCTTGTTCCAGCCTTTCACTTTCAATCTATCTATAACTATTATATTTGAAATGAGTTTCTTATTGGCAGAATAGTTAGGTCATGTTTTTTTACTGCACTCTGCCCTTCTCTGTTTTTAATCAGTCTATTCACCATTTCTATTTAAAGTAAATATTGATGTGTTCTTTTTCTTGATGTCCTGGAGGTTATTTGGATATTTTTCAGAATTCCATTTTTATGTATCAGTGGTATTTTATAGTGTATGTGTTTTTAGAGATATGTCTTAGGGCCTGCTCTAAGAATTATATTGTATATATAATTATATTGTATTATATATATATACAATATAATATATACAATTATATTGTATATATTATATTGTATATATTACTTAGCACAGTCCACTGATGTTGAAATTTTGCCAATTTAAGTGAAGTATAGAGACTTTATCTTGATTTAAATCCCTCCATTTCCCCGATTATAATTTTCTTAAATACTTCCTTCATGACATTGAGAACCACATCAAACAATGTAATAATTTTGCTTCAACATCAAAAATAATTTAGACATCTCAAGAGGGGAGATAGAATATATGTTGCATTTACCCAAATTTTTACTTTTTATATTGTTCTTTTTTCCTTCCTGATGCTTGTTGTGAGATTCTTCGTTTATTTCACTTCAGAAACACCTTTACCCTGAAATCCCAGCGCTCATTTCAGAAGTTGTTCTTTGTATAAACTGTCAAGCTGATTATATAATTTTTGTGGAAATAAAAAGCAATAAAACTGGCCGGGCGTGGTAGTGCACACCTGTAATCCCAGTGGCTCGTGAGGTCAAGGCAGGAGGATCACAAGTTCAAAGTCAGCCTCAACAACTGCCAGGCACTAAGCAACTCAGTGAGACCCTGTCTCCAAATAAAATACAAAATAGGACTGGGGATGTGGCTCAGTGGTCAAGCACCCCTGAGTTCAATACCCGGTACCGGAAAAAAAAAAAAAAGTCCAAGTAGTAAGTTTTCTTCTAGTTTGAAGTGAGCTTACTGCTGGTGGTAGTGAGATGAATGCTGTAGACATCCTAGCCCGAGGGTGGTTGGCATTCCTTGCACATGGCTTTCTGGTGCTTACTCTCTGAATGGCCTTAGGAGGACCCAAGTTTCGTATATAGGGTACATAAAATGCACAACAGGGAGATGTACATAAGAATATGCTCATATACAGAAGAATGAATTGGACACAGCTTTCGTATGTTCACATGTAAATATACAAACTGTAATTCCACATCATGTACAACCACAATAATGGGAAGTTATACTCCATGTATGTATGATATGTCAAAATACATTCTCCTGTCATGTATAACTTTTTTAAAAAAGATAAAAAAATTAAGAAAAACAAAAGAATATGTTCAATTAGTATTGATTACTTTGGGTGGGACTGAGCTATATAGATGTGACTTCCACCTGAAACATCAGGAATGTGTACCATATAGACTGATGAACAGATGTGGGATCTAGAATCAAAAGAGTAATTACACACAGAGCTGTGTGTCCTCAGATAAGTAACATTGCTCTCTGAGCTTTGATTCCCCATTTTTGGGTGGGGATAATAAACTAGTAGTTTATTGCCTATAGGGGAGTTAGGGAGAGAAAACTAGGATAAAGTACGTTTTAAACATAGAGCAATGTTTGGATGCTGAAGAAAAACACATTAGATCAGTGGTTCTCAATCTTGGCTCTATGTTATAATCATCTGTAGAACTTGAAAAGGTCCCAGTCCCCAGACTGTGCCCCAAACCATTATGTGACAATTATTCATTCATCCATCCATCTTCCCTCTCCACTCCCCCTCCTTCTCTTCCTCCTTCTCTGCCTTTTCCTCCTCCTTCCTCTATTTTCCTGTTTACCTATCTACCTACTTACTTACGTACTTTTTTTAAGGCATACTCTTTAAATAGTTAAAAGAAATTCCACCTGAGTTTCCACCAGAGAATATGCACCAAGTTTTTGGGGATGGCATTTTATAGAGGCTGTTGCTGTGAAGGAGATATCTCCTGGGGTAAGGATGGAGAGTGGTTAGACTTAGGAAAAGGGTTGATTCCAAAGAACAGAAATGCTGGAGATGTCAACATAAAGTTTAGCTGTTCTGCTGTGTAGACAAGTTTTATTTTGAAATGGTGAGGGTGCCTGAGTTCATTATCATGAACTGGGACAGGGTTGACAGCTTGGGGGAGGTGAGGCTATGCACACACTTCAGTCTATGTTAGTGTCAAACAAGACCAAGCAATGAATGTCTGGAATATGCTCCTTAAATTTTCTTCTCTGAGGACACTGTTTAAGTAAGAGCTTTGGCCACAACTGGTGACCTTCGAAAAGTATTTCTAATGAGCACGCTAACTTCAGTAATTGCTTTCAAGACTTAAGCCTTTAAGCAAAGCAGAAGACTGAGTTGTTTGAAATAGCCTTGAAAGAAGACATTTTAACAGAAACAAGATTTGTTCCTGATCTTCATATTTTCAATATTTTATGAACAAAATATTTCACTGGAATCTGTATTCTGAGAATTAACCAAACATAGTGTTCTATCCAAAAGAAACTGGGCAGAGAAAGGAAAGTGTCCCCAGTTGAGATGTTCTGGCTCTGATCTCTGATACTTTCTCCTCTGCTCTCCAGAATCACATGTCATGGGAAGAACCAGCAGGTGAGAAGCTCAGTTATTCTCCTGGTCAGAAAGCTTTTCACATGGAGCCAGCTCAGAGGCCATTCTTCACCACTGAGATGGTGACATGGACCCTCCCCTCCATCTCTGTAGAGGATATCCTCAGTGAGACCTTTTCACAGCCCAGAAGGGTTGCAAAGCACTCACACATCAGTTTGGATGACCTATGGCTGGAGAAGACACAGAGAAAGAAGCTGGAGAAGCAGATACAGGCTAGAAGGAAGACACGCACAGGAATAGCGCACCCAGACAAAGTCCAGGTAAGCCAGGCATCCTCTCATCTGGCCTGCTGTCCCCTCAGCCTCTGTAGTAGCCTGCCATTTCCTGACTCTGACCTGCACTGAACTTGTCACCCTTGAGCCACTGGATGATAGCACACTAATGGGGCCCCACCTAACATGAACCTGTATGTGTCAATCAGATTTCTGTTACTATAACAGATATCTGACATCAAGCAACTTACAAAATAGGAAGGTTTATTTTGGCTCAATGGTTTGGAGGTTTCAGTCCATGACCAATTGGCCCATTGTTTCGGACCTATGGCAGCATAATACATCATGGTGGGAGTACATGAGAGAGGAAGCCTATTCATTATCAGGGTGGCCAAACAGAAAAAGAAACGGGAGTCCTACAGTCCCCTTTAAGGCCATTCCTCCAGTAACCTAAAACCTCCCACGAGGCCTCACCTTTTAAATGCTCCAACACCTCTCATAACACCAAGCTGAGGACCACGTAGGTCTTTGGAGACATTCTAGATCCAGTGCAAGAGACACTTCACAGAGACATGTTCCCTACAACCACCAAGGTCAGGGTTCCCTCTTCATCCTCCATGTGTGTCCCTTCCTGTGGCCAGCCCTGTGCAGGACCAGAAGGCAGGGAGGAGGAGGGGGTCCTCGCCCTCAAGGATCTCACCATGGCAATTACCATTTAGTGAGAGGCCTCCTGTGTCACATACTGTTGGGCACAGTATGACCATGAACTCAAGCATTCAAAAAAGGAGCATGACATTTTGATAAGAGTCTTAATTAAATTAATAAAATGCAGATACACTGTCCCATTTTTTTTGGTCCATAGCGACCTTCTGACACCATGATAGTTTGCATAAAACTTACAGCCTATTAAAAGTGACTGTAGTCTTGACATCTTACCTTTAGTCAACTCTAACTCTGTGTCTTATTCTTTCCCTTTATACAATAGCAATTTTTTATTATCCAGTACTTGTGAAGTATACATCGGAGTCTCTCCTCATCCTTAAATACCAGATTTTTTTTACTGAGGTGTAATTCACATAAAAATTCACCATGTTACACTGAACAATTCAGTAACATTTGTTTGTGAGCATCACCTCTATCTGGGTCAAAGGCATTTCATTACTCTAAAAGGAAACACTGCATCTATTAGGCAGTCACTACCCATTTCTCCTCCCCAAGCCCTGACAAGCATTAATCTGCCTTCTGTCCCTAAGGATTTACCCATTTTGGATATTTCAAAGAAATGGACTCACACCATACGTGACCTTTTGTGTCTTGTTTTGTTTTTTTTTTCACTTAGTATGTTTTTACAGTTCATCTATGTCTTAGCATATATCAGTACTTAATAGTTTTTGTAGCTAAATCATAGTCCACTAGAGAGACATATTTGTTTCATTTTCATTCATCACCATTAATAGACATTTGGTTTGTTTGTACCTTTTGTCCATTATTAATAGTGTTTCTAAGACTAGTATAAAAACTTTTGTTTGAAGACATGTTTTCTGTACTGTGGTACATATCTGGGAGTAGAATTACCAGGTCATATCATAATTCTGTGATTAACTTAGAGAAATCACCAAGCTGTTTTCCACCCACCACTCTATTTGATTTTTTTAAATTCCTTTTATTTTTTAAATACATGACAGCAGAATGCATCACAATTCTTATTACACATATAGAACACAATTTTCATATCTCTGTTTGTATATAAAGTATGTTCACACAATTCATGTCTTCATACATGTACTTTGGATAATGATGTCCATCACATTCCACCATCCTTGCTAATCCCCTGCCCGCTCCCTTTCCTTCCCACCCTTCTGCCCTATCTAGAGTTCATTTATTCCTCCCATGTTCCCCCTCCCCACCCCACTATGAGTCAGCCTCCTTATATCAGAGAAAACATTCGCCATTTGTTTTTTTGGGATTGGCTAACTTCACTTAGCATTATCTTCTCCAGTGCCATCCATTTACCTACAGATGCCATGATTTTATTCTCTTTTATTGTTGAGTAAAATTCCATTGTGTACATATGCCACATTTTTTAATCCATTCATCTACTGAAGGGCATCTTGGTTCCACAGTTTAGCTATTGTGAATTGTGCTGCTATAAACATTGATGTGGCTGTGTCCATGTAGTATGCTGTTTTTAAGCCCTTGGGGTATAGACTGAGGAGAGGGACAGCTGGGTCAAATGGTGGCTCCATTCCCAGTTTTCCAAGGAATCTCCATACTGCTTTCCATATTGGCTGCACCAATTGCAGTCCCACCAGCATTCTATTTGATTTTTTTTTCCAGCAGTAGACAAGGGTTGCAAGTCCTCACATTCTCCCTGTTTTCTGTTTTGTTTTATTATTGTCGAAAGATAGGAAGTATTGAAAGGATATGAAGAAATGGAAATCCTTGCATACTGATGATGAGGATGTAAATTAGCTATAGCCATTATGGAAAACATTTTCCAAAAAACTAAACATAGAAACACCATATGATCCAGCAATCCCGCTTCTCAGTATTTACCCTAAAGATTTGAAATCAGTATGTTGGAGACACGTCTATACTCCTGTGTTCATTGCAACACTATTCATAGTAGTCAAAAAATGGAAAGAAACACATGAATGGATAAAGAAAACATGGTACATACACATAATGGAATTCTATTCAGCTGTAGAAAAGGAAGAATTTTTTTGTTATTTGCAAGATCATGGAAAAAATGGAGAATGTTACGCTAAGTGAAATAAGTCAAATGCAGAAAAGCAAACACCACTTACATGTGCAATCTAAAACAATGAAGTTCATAGAAGCAGAGAATAAAATAGTGGTTACCGGAAAAGGTGGGGTTGGAGGGAGTGGGAAAATGTTAATCAAAGGGTACAAAGCATCAATAAGAGAGGAAAAGTAACTTTGACTTGTTTTTTAGATTTATCGCACAACAGGATGAATAATAGAGTATTGTACATTTCAATATCCATCACTAAGAACATCTCAAATGTTCTCATCACAAAAATGTTAAATATTTGAGGTGATGGACAGGTTAATTAGCTTGATTTAATCATTCTACATTCTGTGTAAATGTAAATTGTAACATCACTTTGTACCTCATAAATATATACAACTATAATTTATCAATACCTATTTTTTTTTAAAGTTCTTAAAGAAGGTACAAAGCAAAATTTAGGTGGGAAGAGAAACCAAATATACGATTCTCAGATTTCCAAGGTAGTTGTGTTTTCTTTTTACTGTAAGTTCTCCACTTGGTTGAGTCATTCAGCGGTTAAAAGAAAACCTGTGAATACGGTAAAAAAATATATATATATATTAATTCAAAAACCTGGTTAGTGTTATACAAGACAAGTTCTATGTGGAAAATCAAGTTTTAAATATTGATGAGACTGGTTTATTTTACAAGACTATTGACAAATGAACCTAGATAATGCAGATAGCATTTTGCTTGACAAAAATGTGACCAAAGGCTGGTGTGTGACTCAGTGGTAGAGTACATGCTTAGCATGCACAAGGCCCTGGGTTCAATCCCCAGCACCCTTCAAAAATAAAATGTGACCAGAGACCCACAGGAACTGTTTCACCTAGGAGCAACAATTCAATATTTTCTAATTCAGTGTTTGTGAAGAATTCTAGAACACAGGTAGCACAAAAAATAAGAAATGACTAATTTGGGCTGGCGTTGTGGCTCAGTGGTAGCGTGCTCTCCTAGCAAGTGCGAGGCCCTGGGTTCGATCCTCAGCACCACATAAAAACAAATAAAGGTATTGTGTCCAACTACAACTAAAAAATTTTAAAAATTAAAAAAAAAAAAGAAATGACTAATTTGAAAATGCTTCCTAATGCTCCAGGAAGATGGTGTGGGAGACAGTTGCTCTTCTACCTGTGATGGGGTCATGTCCTGATAAATCCATCGTAAGTCAGAAGTGCACTTAATCCTCCTAACCTATCGTACATCATAGCTCAGCAACACAGAATGCCGTAGTCTGTTGGTTTTTCCCTTTTGTGTTCACATGGCTGACTGGGAGCTGCAGCTGACTGCCACTGCCACTGCCCAGCATTGCCGAAGAGTATGGTACCACATATTGCTAGCCTAAGAAAAGATCCAAATTCAAAATTCAAAGTAAAGTTTCTGTGGAATGTGTATCATATGTGCCCTATTTAAAGTCAAAAAATCCGAAATTGAACCATCCTTGGTCAGGAACCATCTGGAGGTGGACATAAAGCAGTCATATTCAGTTTTTCTCATTGTCTGAATATTAAAAAACTTTTTCCCCTGTGGTTTGTAGTTCCATTCCCTGCCTTTGCCCTGACCAAAACTAGGCTGAATTTACAGAAATACTAAAAAAGTGTCAAGGTGTTGTTATCATGTCACCTTCCTGGTCTTTTTTCTAGTAATCTGGGCTTTCACTTTCCCACTCTGCCATGCATTTCCTGCAACTCTTCCTTTGGAGCCAAGTGGCAGGAGGACGAATTAAAAAGAGACAAGGGTCTCCCCCATGCCTTAGGATGACAGCTCTCTGGTCAGAGAGGATTCTTCTCCCTCCCGGTTTCAGATGCCTGTCTGGAGCCTGAATCTTATTACTATAATTGGATTGCCTCTGGGGTTGGGTTGAAAGAAAACACCATCAGAATACACAGGATTTCCCCCATCCCCTCATACCTTCAGGCACCTCCCTTTCCTCTTCAGATCAGACAGGGCTTCTTTGGAGGCCATTTTGCCTATGTCCAGTTTTAAGCGCTGCTGAATTCAGGCAGGAGGATACACAAGAACAACAAAATAGGAAACTCACTTCTCTACAGGATTGGGGTAACCTCCAAACCTGGCTTCCTTCCCCAGGCTCTCTGCTACCATTGATTTTCTCTGATAGCTGACTCGTATATTCTGCCCAAGGTCTTCAGTGGCATTCAAATGGAAGCGATGGGGTGGAATGCAATGCCCCATCCTAACCTTTGTATATTTATGCTTCCTGCATTACTGTTTGCTTAAGTGTACAAGGGATATAAATCAAAAAGACAAAAAGGAAGCATTTATTTGCATACATACCATGATTTTTAAGATACTACAATAACCTTATTAGAAGGTAGCAAAGGTGTGGGGGGGTGGCTATTATCTTCTCAGACAATGAAGAGATACAGGAAAGGACAATATCTTTCCCTTCCCAAGACCCCAGGCAACATTGGTCCTTACTGTCTGAGATATCAAAGCCTTCTTGAATTACATTTTAGTTAATTGCTCCCCAAAAGGATAGACCTTGGCTGAAACTAACAGTTTTGCTTTGGGGAAAAATATCAGGCTGTTAGCTAACTGCTGGGGGTGATGTAGATGCCTGAAGCCCTTATCAACAGCCCTCCTTTCAAGTTCCTGAATGGCAGCCTTTCCTGCCAAGGTTGCACACCTGGCTATGCACGTTACATAGTTCATACTCCAGGAAAAGCTTTCCTGGTGGATTTTGGTGTGAACGGCACCTTCTGGAACTGTGCACATTTTGGCTGGGGCTCTGCTCACAGGAAAGGTCCTGGGCAATTGGAGGTGGCAATGACAGCCTACCATCTGTTTTGTTTATTTACCCTCTGCCTCTTTCCTCCTCTGCCAGTGTTGGAGGGAGACAATTATCACCTCTCCAGAGTCTCTGCATCTCCCTAGAAGAAGCCATCTGCTCTCCCAGAGTGCCCCGATGGGACTGAACCACCTGGGTTGGCCAGAGCATATACCTGACACCGGTGAGCTGCACGTCTCTCTTTCTCATTATATATTTAGGTGTTCTGGCAAGAAGGACAAGAATGAGTGTTTTGATGGTTGTGTCTACTTGTCTAGCAGTTAGGAAGGAGTAGGTGGTACCTACAGAAAGAGAATTCTTAGGTTGGGGCAGATTTGATGATGGAGCTCCCAAGCCTGGCTCTGTTAGTTTATTTTGAGCAAAGCTATTGACTAAGCCTTGGTATTTATTATAGCAGGATAAACCTGCAGAATAAATAATCATGTAGTGACTTTTCTCTAATCCAGTGATGGAATTTGGGTGCTTTCCCATCTGAGGACCAGTAATCTCTCCCTTGAATTTTACACCACCTCCATGAATTTCTTTCCCAAAACTATAGCAAACAGCATCACATCACAATATATGTCCACAAAAGGGAGGGCTTTTTGTGTCACAAGGGAAGTGGGCCCCAGATGACAGCCAGAATGAGGCCTCTTCATACACAGGTACCACTTTTCTTAGCCCTAACCCAAGAGAGCTGGGCATACTAAGAGATGTTCAAAGGATCCTGGCCAAGGGCTAGATGTTGCGTCTCTCGTCCTCAGCAGACACAGGTTATTATCGGCAACCTTAAAATGCATTTAAGGTACGGGTTATTATCAGCAACCCTAAAATGCTAGATGCATTTAGCTAACTGAAGGAAGGGACCAATTCTGGTGTTTAAGACAGGTGAGCAAGAATAAAACCAAAGCAGAGTTGAAAAAAACAATAGTTATACCTATTTGTATAGGTATAACTATACAAATAGGTATAACTATTTGTCCAGGCTTGGGGAGTAAGAAATAGGTCAATAGTTGCTGCTTTGGGAGCTAAAGAGCCATAAGAAGCAGTAAAGTTAGAAGATGAGAGGGGCAAGCTGTAGTTAGTCCAAGCATTAGCATTTGGCACATGCCGTGCCAAGGAGTCTGCTCTGAGGCAGATCCTGATCTTGAGCCTCAGTCTGCCTCAGTGCATACGGTGTGCTCGTTCCTGGCAGAGCTGGCATTCCAGATTAGCTGGTGGACATGACTGTTTTCTGTCAGCAAGGGTACATGCTGAGGCTGCATGTGGACTGCTCCTCTTTCCCACATATGGCTGTGATCTTAAACTCACAGCCAGCAAAGTCATGAAAAATTACTTGGCAATTGCTTAAAGAATCATTTCTAGAGAGAAGAGATTTTCTCACATGAGCCCTTCATTAAGCCGTGGAATTATTGAGAGGATTGTGGAAGGGACGATCATGGGAGAGATTCGCTTTTTTCTGGAGATAATCTATCCTCAAAGCTGATTTTGACCCTTTAAGTCTAATGCATGTTCTTACAGATTCAGGGTTTCATAATATTATAGCCCTATCATTTCAGAGCATCATTTGAATTAAATGAAAGATGAATTTATTGCTGATAAAATTTTAAACCTTAGTAACACATAACCCAACATGTGTTACTAAGGTTTAAAATTTTAGAGAACTGCTGAAGTCAGAGATCAGGGCTCTGACTGGCCACACTTGACATCAGGGTAAGAAGGGTGGACCCATCCCCCATTTCTCTGTTATCCCAGATTCTTTTTCATCATGAAGGAATGAAAATTCCCATCTTCCTATCTCACAAGATTAGTATGAGGGACTAGTGAGGGGTCTCTATATTTAGTTTGGGGAAATTTTCTTTCTTTATTGCTTCTTCTCCAACTGTTTTCTTCCCAACTTCTGAAATTTCTACTTTATATAAATTATATTTCCAATTTATGCACCCAGCACCTTGCATCTTTCCCCCCTACACCCCAATTCTTTTTCTTTTCAGTTCTGGAATTATTTCTACATTTTATCTTCTACTTTGCTTTTCTGGTTTTAACTCATCTGTATTCACTGCCTTCATTAGAGCTTGTGATTCAGTGGTCATTTTTAATCTCCATACAGTCTTTCCAATTTTCCCTTGAAGGATAAGAACAGAAAATCAGGAATTTTGTAGTTTTTTTTTCCCCTCCTGTTTATGGCTTTCAGTTCTTTTCCAAACTCATCTGCTATTCTTTTGATTGGCAGAATTTCTTAGTAGGAGAAATTCTTCTATTTGCTCATTCTTCCCTATCAGTGGCTTATTGTCCAGTAGCCATAGAAATAACATTCTTTCAGAAACTGTTACAAGTTCGGATTCTCCCAACACAGCTGCAGTGGGACATGAAAAGCTAAACTTTCCTGTAATGTATGCACATAAAAACAAGAAACCAGTTCCTTCCACCTTTTTAGGTGAGCTCAGTCACCTAAAAAGATGAGAGAACTGTAAGCAGTCCTGGAAGGACTTTTTGTTTTGATTTTTGGGGGTGCTGGGGACCAAACCCAGGATTGAGCTTGCTAGGCAAGGGCTATACCACTGAGCTATACCTTCAGCCCCTGGAAAGACTCTATGAGAATTTCTTCTCCATGTTTGAAGAGGTAGCCAAGAATTGGCCTGATGTGGGAACTGCTGCCTTCTGTACTGCAAGATGGTGTCCAGCATAAACTCTAGCACGTCCATTCCCACCAGGGGAGCCATCACGACCAGAAGTGACTCTGTGAGTCCTTAGGGTGGCACATGCACAAAGTGTCACATGATGCCGCTGTGGCTCTGGAGTTCACCCCTTTGGAAGGGTCTGCAAGGTTTTACCCAGGAATTTTTCTGTTGCTTTTGGGTCATAAAATTATTTCACATCTCCTCTTTCTCCAAGTCCAGTATATCTTTGTTGTGTCTTGTGGCTGATACCTGTCCCCAACTTCTCTGCTAGTAAAGGATTTTCCTGGATTTTTAACAGCTTTATTGAGATACATTTCACTTCCATTTAAAGTGTACAACTCATTGGGTGCAGTGGTCACATATGTAATTCCAGAGACTCAGGACTCTGAAACAGGAGGGTCAAATTTAGCAAGGCCCTAAGCAACTTAGCAAGACTTTGTCTCAAAAAAAAAAATCAAAATGGTTGAGCATGTGGTTCATGGTAAAGTGCCCCCAGGTTAAACCTCCAGTACACAATTAAAAAAAATAAACTGTACAACTCAGTGCTTTTTGGTATATTCACAGATGTGTGTGATCATTGCCAGTCTTTTAAAAACATTTTCGGCACTTCATAGTAAACCCTGTAACTTTAGTTGTTGCCTCTTCTCAAAACTCCTGGATCTCCACCCCCCTCTGTTCCCACTACAAGGAACCATCAGTCTACTTTCTGTCCATATAGATTCCTTATTTTGAATTTGCATAAACAGAACCATATAAGATCTGGTCTTTTGTAACCAGCTTTTTTCATTTAGCATGTTTTCAAGGTTCATCCACACGGATACAGCTGTATCAGTATTTCAATCCTTTCTATGGCTGAATAATATTCCATTGTATAGCTATACCACAATTTTCTTCATGCATCAGTTGATGAACATTTGAATTGTTTCCATCTTTTGACTCTCATGAACAGTGCTGCAATAGCATTTGTATACAAACTTCAGTGTAGACATGTTTTCATTTCTCTTGGGTTATGTACCTCTGAGTGGAAATATTGGGCCAGATGGAAACTCTATGTTGAATAATTTCAGGAAGTGCCAGACTGTTCTCCAAAGCAGCTGCTCCACTTCACATTCACACCACCAGTGTAATTTCTCCACATCCTCATCAATACTTGTTGTCTGACTTTTGACTCTAGCCATACTATTAAGTTGTATCGCATTGTGGGTTTTTTCTCCATTGTAATTTAATTTGCATTTTCCTGATGACTGTTGGTGTCCATCATCTTCATGTGCTTATTGACCATTTTTAAATCTTTTTTAGAGAACTGTATATTTAAATCATTTACTCATTTTCAAATTAAGTTTTCTTTTTAATTGAGTTGTAGGCTTTCTTAGATATATTCTGAGTACAAGATCCTTATCAGATATATGATTTGTAAATATTTATCCCATTCTGTGAGTTGTCTTTTCACTTTCTTGGCATCTGTTGAAACACAATTTTTTTTTATTTTACATTTTGATGAAGTCCAATTTATCTATTTTTTCTTTCATTGCTTATGCTTTTGGTTTCCTACCTTAGAATACTTTGCCAAGTTCAAGTTCACAGAAGATTTACCCCTTTGTGTTCTCCTAAGAGTTTTATATTTTTAGTCTTACATTTAGATCTTTCATCTATTTTGAGCTATCTTTTGAGTATGGTGTTAGGAAAGAGTATACCTTCTTTCTTGGACATGTAGTTATCCAGTTGTCCCAGCACTATTTGTGGTAAAGACTATTTTTTTAAATCATTTATTAGTCCTTTTTAAATTGCTAGAACAAAACACCTGAGGAAGGATAATTTTTTTTATTTGTTTTAATTAGTTACACATGATAGTACAAAGACCTTGACATACATTTGAATCAGATGGGATATAATTTCTCATTTTTCTGAGTATACAGGTTATAGAATCACATTCGTCATGCAGTCACATATATACACACAGTAATAATAATATCTGTTTCATTCTACTATCCTTCCTATCTCCCCATCCCCTCCCCTCCTCTCCCCTCCCCTCCCATCACTTCTCTCTACCTAATCTAGGGTAACGCTATTTTTTCTCACATCTTCATACATGTATTTTGTATAACAATGAGGGTCTCCAGGAAGGGTAATTTTAAAAAGAAATTTAATGGGCTCACTGTTTGGGAGGCACAATGTCCACATCTGGTGATGACTTCTTGCTGGCGGAGTTCTGAAGTGGGACAGAGTATCACAAAGAAAGAAATAGGAGCCAGGTGCAGTAGTGCATACCCGTAATCCCAGTGACTCAGGAAGCTGAGGCAAGTGGATTGCAAGTTTGAGGCCAGCCTCAGCAATTCAGTGAGACTCTGTCTCAAAATTAAAATTTTAAAAAGGGCAAAGGATATAGCTCAGGGGTAGAATGCCCCTGGGTTCAATCCCTAGTATCAAAAAGACAGCAAGGACACTCAGGTGCACATGTTTCTGGTCTCTCTCCCTCTTCTTATAAAGCCACCTGGGTTTAATC